CACAAGTTGAGATATATATCTCAACACTTGTTAGGATGGCCATTATTTTTTTTAAAAAAATCAGAAAATAGTGTTGATGAGAATATACAGCACAATTGGGATCCTTGTTCCCTGTGAGAATGTAAAATAGTATAGCTGAGCTGCTATGAAAAATTGTACGGACATTCCTCAAAAAATTAGAAATAGAACTATCAGGTGATCCCGCAATCCTACTTCAGGGCATTTTTCCAACAGAATAGAAAATGATCCGGAAGAGGTATTTAATCTCATGTTCATTGCAGCAGTATTCACAATAGCCAAGATGTGGAAACAATCTAAATATCCATCAATAGTGAATGATAAAGAAAATGTGGTGAATATATGCAATGGAGTATTGTTCAGCCATAAAAAGAAGGAAATTCTGTCATTTATGACATAGATAAGCTTAAAGTACCCAATGATATGTGAAATAAGCTAGGCACAAAAAGACAAATACTGCAATCCAATTCTATGTGGAATCTAATAGTCCAACTCATAGAATTAGAAAGTGGAAGGATGATTACCAAAGGTTGGAGAATAAAGAAATGGAGAGATGCTGATAAAAGGGTGCAAGCTTGGCATTTATAAATCACGTAAGTTCTGGAGACCTAATGTACAGCATGTTGACTATATTTAATAATAATATATGCTTGGAATTTGATAAGATAGTAGATTTTAATTACTTTCACCAGAAAGAAACAAGTTAAATACGAGAGGTGATGGATATATTAATTAACTTGATTGTGGTGATTATTTTAAAATGTATGTATATTTAAAACATCAGGCTATATAACTTGATACATACAATTTTTATTTGTCAACTATATCTCAATAAAACTGGGAAAAGAGGGAAAAGGGAAAAAAAGATAAGAAATCACTGTGGAATGATTTAATCAGGACACATTTCAAAGAGTAGATAGTTTAACCAGTCCTTGAAGGAGATGTAGAATTTTAATAAGCAGATCTGTTACAGAAAGTCATCTATTGCTAGGGAACAATATAATCATGAAGATATGAAATGTAAGAAACAGTATAAGTATGAAGGTATGTGACGTGGAGGTACTCAAGGAATAACAAAGATATTAATTGAGTATCCAAAAAGAAAAAAAGAAAGAAAACAGCTGAGGGGCTAGTAATATAGCAAGGGAAGCAGAGCATTATTGAGAAAGATAGGAAAAGCCAGAATGGATAAATCATGAAACAGAGTAGAACAAGTTTTAGAGATCACCCGGACTTATTCTCCTTGCATTACAAATAAGAACACTGAAGCTCTCTGGAGACTATGCAATTAGAAATTTACATAATTGAGATTAGAATTTATACTCTTAACTCCAAGTCCTGATCTTTTTATACTCTCTATAATTTTATGAAATTTTAATCTATGATGTTAAAATTATCTTACCATTTCAAGTTTTCTTTGGAGATAAGCAGGGCACAAATATTCTTTTAATCTTGTTAATACTTTTAATAGAGTACTATGTAAACATTTCTTTTTTAAAATGAAGGTTTGACTGAAAACACATATATTCAGTATTGCAGTGTATAATCAATGTTTACAAAAGATATTATCTAAAAAGTGAAACTAATGAAAATTGAAATTATAATGCCAAAGTACCCCAACTCTGAAGACAGTGATACAGATAATGTTGGTTTTCTGGAACCCAGAAGAGTTACATAATCTGTGATAGTTTGTAGCTAAAATTGGATACACTTCCTTTAACAACAATTTTGGAGAGCAAAAGAATATAACAACTTTGTTTGAAAGAACAATCATTATTTTTCTCATTTACATTACAAATAATAAAAAACGATTTCTATTGTTAAGTAGCCAATTCATCTTCATTCCCATTCTGTATGTATTCACAGTGTCTCATTAAATTCTGATATTGTTAAGAACTCCTCAGGTGTCTTGTAATTTTACCATTTTATATATATCAGTCACAAAATACATATATATAGTAATAAAAACTGAAGCTTTACAAGAATTTATATCAACTGTATTCCATATTAAGCATCTTTGTTATGTTGAACAACAGAACTATGTAATATTTTGATTCAAAAAGAATTGATTCTGTTTTCTAATTTTTTCAACTCTGTAATAACAGAGTTGGAAGTTTATGTGATAGTTCTATTATTTTAATACTTACCCCTGATACTACCCTTAATATCTGATTTAACAAGGTCTAAATTAATCAATGTATCTCCCTTTCTCCAAAATAACAGAATAGTGACCTTCTTGTCCTTTGTATCATTTCGTTCTGGCATGATAGTACTAGTTTGCATTTATAATTCAATATTAGTCAATATTACCACTGCTTTTTACAGTCAGTGTTCACTTAGATTTTTCAATAAATGTGATATATTTCAGTTTCTTTACCACCATTATTTATTGCAGCTTGTATCTCTCTTCTAATGTTAATTTTATTATACCGGATAAATCCCTATTGCTATCTATTAGGGTTACATTTGACTAAACAGCTTTATAGATTATATTATCTAGATTAAACTATTCCTCACAAAATAGTCACTTAAAAAATTTCTACAAAGAAATAGCAATACTTTGACAGAAAATATACAATATAAGTAGCATAAATAAACTGTGAGACATATAAAAGAAAATGGAAATTGATTACTGTCACTCAATTGTCTGGAATTTTCTCAATCCTGAAATCAATGGACTTCTATAAAGGAGAATGCATTCTAAGTTTGTAGCACTGTATCAATGGAAAGCTTATGAAAATCCATTATGATAGTATATTATAAAATGCTAAGGTAATTAAAAGATTACTTTTAAGTGGTAGATAAAGTTTTCATATTTTCTTGGGAAGTTGGGGCTCATGGTGGATAATACTGAAAAGGTAAATTAACGCTAAGAAAATGTCATTATCACTTAATAGTGATACTCATTTTCAATTGAGTCTAACTTAAATTTCTTGGTATTTTAAATTTGACATTTTATATAGGACAATAGAATTTAGAACACAGATTATAAAATGCCTATTCTTTCCAAATCAGATTCTTATTTCTCCTACTACCTCTCATCCAACAGTTTGTTGGTTTCAAAATTACTGCCACACGCAGAAGGTGTAAATTTCCTTGCCAATTAAAGAATTCACCAAATTAAATAAAATTTTATATTTATCTTTTTGCTACATTTGATTCTGTTTTTAGAATTTTTTCACTGTGTGAATAAATTGATCTCTTTGGATACATTCACATGAGTGGGATTAATAGGTCAAAAATTTTGAACTATGTCTATTGAAATATATTGGCAAATTTCTATTAATAAAACAATTTTCAGGGGCTCTGATAAGTCCTATGACATATATCTGTTTCTAAATATGTGATTAACTCAGAATTAAGGGGTTTTTTAAATGGTGCTTACACTTAGAGAGTGTTTTATCTAATTCATTAACATGGTATATCAAAGTCCTTAACAAATAGGCTTTGTATTGCAAAATAAGGTGCCAGTAATTATTTTTATTTTAGTTGTATACATTTATTACAATATAAATCATTATTATTGAAGCTAGAATTAGGAGCTTATTTATATAATTCTAACTTTTCGTTTCTTTTTTTTTTTTTTTTTTTGAGACAGGGTCTCAATTTGCCACCCTAGGTAGAGTGCCATAGCAACCTCCACCTCTTGAGTTTAAGTGATTCTCTTGTCTCAGCCTCCCAAGTAACTGGGATATAGGCATCCGCCACAGCACCTGGCTATTTTTTGCTTATAGTTGTCATTGTTGTTTGGCAGGCCCAGGCTGGATTTGATCCCACCAGCTCCAGTGTACGTGGCTGGCACCCTAGTCTCTAAGCTACAGATGCCAAGCCCTAACATTTCATATGTTTCAAATTTTCATAAAATAGCTCTGAGAAAAATTTAAATTAATAGGGAATAAAAGGCAAAACTATCTAAACAAAAGATTCCTTTAATTTTTTAAAAACATTTAAATGTTCATATGGTAAAATATTTTGTTGTATCTGATTTTTCTGAGAATTGAAAAAAGAAAGGATTGTCAAGTCATGTTGTATATACATACACCGAAGAGGCAGTATAGCCTACTAAGATGACAGAATTTAGAACCAAACTGCTGCATTTACATTTTAACTCTGCCATATACTTGCTTTGGGATTTTAAACAAATAACTTTTCTTAGCTTCAATTTTCTCTGTAAAAATAGGCATAATAAGGTTGTCAGGAAGACTATATATGAACCATATGCATAAAGCACTTAAAATAATACCTGGTGCATAGTCAGTATTTAGTAAGGATTAGCTATCATTATGGCAAAAAAGTATTGAATATCTACCAGATGTGTGCTATGTAATAGGTTAAAGGAATTATAGTTTACTCTTCTTCTACTCCATTGTACTTTTATTATTTTTAATTTTGGAGCATTTTATTCTGAGAAACATTGACATTTCTGCTTTTTTCCTTCATTTATGGGTAGGTGGAAACATAACATGTTCAAAATATATAATCTTTGCAAAATAGAAAGGGGGTGGGCAAATAAGATATCAAAGAAGAATTTCTGGCTTAGCTTGGTGGATCATTCCTGCAATCCTAGCACTCATGGAGGCTAAGGTGAGATGATCCCTTGAGCTCAGCATTTCCAGAAGCAGCCTGAGCAAAAGCAAGACACTGTCTCTATCAGAAATTAAAAAGAAAAAAAAATTAGCTGAGCATTGTGGCGGGCACCTGTAGTCCCAGCTACTAGGGAGACTGATGCAGGAGGATCTCTTAAACCCAGGAGTTTGAGGTTGCTGTGAACTAGGCTGACACCATAGCGCTCTAGACTGGGCAACAGAAGTAAGAATGTCCCTCCCCCCCGCCCCCCCCCAAATAAAGAATTTCTCTGATTTTGATCTAAGTGTTCTGTCCTTATACTCTTAACCTTTTTATTTTCTCTTTCATATTTTCCAGATTAAATGCATTAATGGAAAAAATTGGCTGGTAAGATAATTGAATATTATAGCAGTGGAATGGATTCTTCAGTGGAAAACAACATGTATGTAAACAAAGTGTGGGTTCAATGTGAAAATGAAAGTTGTTTGAAGTGGAGATTGTTGTCAAGTGAGGATGCAGCCAAAGTTGATCACAGTGAATCATGGTACTGCTTCATGAACACTGATCTAAGGTATAATAAGTGCTCTATTTCTGAAGAAGACTTTCCTGAAGTGTCTCAGCTTCATAAAAGTGGATTTAAGATAGTCTATTCACAGCTCCCTCTTGGAAGCCTGGTTTTGGTAAAATTACAGAATTGGCCAAGGTAAGGGTTTTATTATTTTATAATAAACTACTGAAGTAATAGTCTTGCTAGGTAGGTTTATGAATTTTAAAAACCTTTTCAAATAATCAACTTTTTTTCTCTATTTGTCTACTTATTTTTTGATTTCTGATCTCATCATTTTTTATCATGTTTCTTTGAGTTTAATTTATTCTTTTTCTAGTTTCTTAAATTGGAAAGTTAGGTGAACTAATTAATAATCCTTTTTCCCTCTCATAATAAGCAATTAAAGCTGTATATTTCTAAGTCCTATTTTAGGTACATTCTGCAAATTTTGATGTATTGTGTTTTATCATTCACTTTGAAATATTTACCGATTTTCTTTGTGACTTCTTTGAAATGGGCTATTTAGAAGTGTGTTTTTTTTTAGTTTTTGGCCGGGGCTGGATTTCAACCCGCCACCTTTGGCATATGGGGCCGGCACCTTACTCCTTTGAGGCACAGGCACCGCCCTAGAAGTATGTTTTTGAATAACTACACATTTCAGGAGTTTAATGTATTTTATTGAGTTCTAATTTAAATCTCTTACAGTCAGTTTCCCCAAGTCTTGTTTTTTAGCCCACCGTGACACATCGTATGAATGTTTCATGTACATTTGAAAAGTCTGTAATTATTGCCTTCTTTAGATTTATATAAACTTGTTATAATATCTCAGTGATTTCCATTCTAGGTTGATTTTCCTAAGTATGAAGTGTGCACTTTTAGTGTATAAGTTCAAGTTTTCTTTTCAGTTAAGTTTTCTTAAGTTATAGGCCATTAAATTTTTTCTGTTACATTGCTGTGATTTTCCTATTAGAACTCCTATATTACTTATGGTAGCTCTTCTTTGTCTTCGATATTACTTTTTCTTGAATTATTTTCATCTTTTCAGTTCTTTTTGAATTTAAATTTTTTTTCATTTTTTATTTTTCTGTGTTCTTTCCATTTAGACTTTTTAATTGAAATTTTAAAAAAAGATTTTTTAATTATGTCCCTTCCCTTTTCATATATTTTTCTCTAATCACCTAGTTTTTATCTTTGCTATTCTAATTTGTATTTTTTATTACCTACATTATTTTCTTAATTTCTTCTATCTCAACTTGAAATTTCAGATATAATTTTGAACTCTATTAAGGCCATGCCTCTCTAATAGGCTTTTACTTTTTTGTAGAAATGTGATTCATTTTTACCATCATAATTTTAGAGATTCTGCTGTTACTCTTTCTTACTGAGTACTTTCATATGAAATGAGTTCCTGGTTTTTGATAAGGCAAGATGAAGTGAGTCTGTATTTTCTCTGTTATTCCTTCAGGGCTTTCAGGGTCATTCTGTCTTTAAGTTCATGGATTCTTTTTTTGTCATAGTCATTCTGTTATTAAAACAATCTATTGAGCTTTTTTTTTACTTGTTTATTGCATTTTAAGTTCTAAAAATGTTCTTTTCATTTTGGATCTTTTTTAACTGTTTAGCAGCTTTTGCAACTACACCAGAGAAAGTATGGGGGGTGCAGCTCTTTTTTACTGGTAGGTGGGAATAGAAGTCTAGGTTCCTCATTCAGCCTCTATTTATTTCCAGAGGAGGGAAGAGTTCCTCATTACTGCTGGTCAGGAATAAGAGTTCAGGATCTCTGCTTAGAACCCTGGCTGGAAAGGGTAGGGTTACCTTTTTACTGCTCCAAGATGACCTCTTAAATCATCAGGGGAGGATCTTATTAACACATTGGAATGTGATTTAAAGGCCCAGCTTCCCATTAGGTCTCTTCTGCCACTGCCTGGGTGGGATGAATGGGGGTTTAGGGGAAGGGAATACTTCATTACTGCTGAGTAGTTGAAGTCCTAGGTCACTACCTGCCTTTGCTGGTAGAGTTAAATGTGGGGGCTGCCATTTGTTCCATGGTGTTTGTCTGGGATAGAGCAGTTATTGCCTAAAAGTTGTCTATATATTTCTAGGCCACCCCTATCTTTGTCCTTTGGCTAAAAAGAGCAGGTTTCACTGGAGCTTTTGGGTTTTTTTTATTGTACCTATTGGTGTTTCTGAATTGCTAACTTCTTCAGAAAGAAGAAAGATATGAGGCATAAAGAAAGCATAGGAAACTCAGTGTCAGGTCATTCTTCAGGTCTCAAAGTCCCTGGCTGGCATGTCTTCTTCTCTTCAGCTTTCAGAGCTTCTTTATGTTTATTTTATATATAATATTCAGGGTTTTAGGCATATTTAAAGGGAGGAAAACAGAGAAATGATCTTGAAGTACAAGATCTTAAAGGTATAGAATAAATTTATTTTATATTTTTCTCCCTAAATTCATAGCCCCAGATTCCCTTATTCCATTGAAGTATCAAAAGTATGGATTTGTTTTCTGAAATTTCCTAGGTTTTTCCCTCCCTGCTTTTATTTTTTAGATTTTTCCAATTTTAAATTTTAATTTCTTTATTTCCATTAATAGGCTTTATCTTTTAGAGTGGTTTTAGATTTGCAGAAAAATTGAGCAGAAAGTACAGAGTTTCCACATATCCCCTTTCCCTAACACATGGCCCCTCCTACCCAAGGTGCCATCTGCATTTCACAACAGTATGGTACACTTGTTATAATCTATGAACCAATGTTCACTATTCATTATCAACAAAGTTCATAATTTATATCAGAGTTCATTCTTTGTATTTTATATTTTATGTGCTTTGATAAATGTATAATGCCATTTATTCACAGTGGCCTGAAAGTTTTTTGTATTCTACCTATTTAACCCTCTACCTCACCCCGATCTCTGGACAGCCATTGATCTTTTTACTGTCTCCATAGTTTTACCTTTTTTAGAATTCTAAATAGTTGGGACCATGCAGTATGTAGCCTTTCTTACTGTCTTCCTTCACTTAGCGGTATACATTTACATTTCTTCCATGTCTTTTCCTAAACTTGCTAACTCATTTCTTTGTATTACTGAGTAATATTCTCTTGTCTGTATGTAGCAGAAATTTTTATCCATTCACCTACTGGAGAACATCTTGTTTGCTTCCAGTTTTTTGCAATTATGAGTAAAGCTTCTATACACATCCTTGTTTATAGATTCTATATGCACAAAACTTTTGAGTTACTTTGGATAAACATCATGAAGTGCAGTTGCTAGATTATATAGTATGAGTGTGTATGGTTTTATAAGATACTGCCAAACTATCTTTTGAAGTAGCTGTACCATTTTGCATTCACACCAGCAATGAATGAATGGGAGTTCCTGTTGCTTCACATCATTGGTTGCATTTGGTGTTGTGAGTGTTCTGGATATATGTATATTATGATATCTCATTGTTGTTCTAGTGTGCATTTTTTAAAGAGATACTTTGCTGTTAAACTTTTTCATATGTGCATTTGCTATCTGTATTATCTTTGTTACTGAGGCATCTGTTCAGATCTTTTGTCCATTTTTTAATTTGGTTGTTCATTTTTTGGTAGAGTTTTAAAAGGTTTTTGTATATTTTGAATACCAGTCTAATTTTCTCCCAGTCTGGCTTCTCTTCTTATTATTCTCTTGACTGGGACTTTTGTAAGGAAGACATTTGTAATTTCAATGAACTTTAATTTACCAATTGTTTCTTTCATAGTTTGTGTCTTTGGTGTTATATCCCTGTGTTTAATTGTATTTTTTTCTTCTGTTCTTTTTGATCATCTAACTTCAATTTGGATTTTTCTCATAACCATTTCTCATCAGTGTGAGTTTTTTTCTCAAAAGTGTACTTTCTGCTTAGTTTTAAGTGTTGAGAGCGCCTATACTACTATAATACCTTCAAATTTTGTGCAGTCCACTTTGCAGTTTTGGCTACCATTCTCAGTTCAACTTGCTGCACTTCCCAGTGAAAACATGCTGGAGTTGTGAGGTTCTCATTTCTTGCCAGGGTCCTGCCCTCAGGGAAGGGTTCATTTAGACCTGTGGGTCTGGCAGGGAGCGACTGAAGAAATATAAAGTTAGAAACAACAAGAAAGAAAAAGACAAGACACACAAAATAGAATTTTCACAATTTCCCCACAATTTCCACCTGTGGGGTTCTGGCGGTGGCTCCAAGTATCAGTTCTACACAGCTTTTATTGAAGGCTATTTGCTCATTAGCCCAAAGGGTAAGCTAAGGAAAGGAGCAAAGATGCCAGCAGTTTGTCTGAGCGAGCATATCAGCTCCTATTGTTTCTATAACCATTAACTTTAAGGGTCTGAGCAGGTTTGAGAAATCTGGAACCTGAGCTCTGTGTGGGGGCAGCCTCCTGTCTGAGGTCACACACACAGATTCTTAGGGAAGTGTTAATCTCTGCTAGTTCACTGTGGAGTAAAATGCCCCTGATGTTAATCTTCTCTGAAGAATTGGTGGGAGAGAGGAATTTTCCTCTCATTACCACCACAGAGGGTCTTCCTCTGCCATAGCAGATGTAAGCCTTCCTACCCATATTTTAGGGCTCAAGCTGTTCCCTTGATCTCTGCCCCAGCCAAATACAAATCTCCACGATGCGTATTTGCTTTGTCTGTTTACTAGACGGGAAATGGCCTAGTTAATGTACCTTTTTAGGCCTTGTCACAGTATCTCTTGTGGCCATTATTCCTCAGAGTCTTTACAGACCCAACTGGGTAGTGTTAGTAAGCTGGATCCCCTATAGGCCAGAGCTCAAGGAAAAGGAAAAAACTTGTTCAGATAAGAAATTTAGCAGCAGCTGGTTTAAAAGCAAACTAGCTGACTTTCCTTTGTTCCAACTCACTCAGCTTACTTTTTAATTTTTCCCTTTTTTTCTGGGAGTGTTTACCTTTGCCAAGAATGGGGTCTTCGGTCCCCATTCTGCCTGCAATTTCTGATAACCATCACACTTTTGGTTGTCTGCCTCCTCTTACCTCTCTTCTCAAACAGATGCTGCTATTATGTGGGTCATGCCATTATTAGTAGTTTGTACCTGTCTATTCCTATGTTGGTGTTCATATGAGTAGTTTATCACTTAATTTTATCGTAGATGTTGTGTCTTAGGTTTGGTATTGCTAT